GAAAACATAGGCAGAACACTGTATGACATAAATCACAGCAAGATCCTTTTGGACCCACCTCCTAGAGAAATGGAAATAGAAACAAACACATAGGACCTGATGAAACTTAAGAGCTTTTGCACAGCAAAGGAAACCATAAACAAGACCAAAAGACAACCCTCAGAATGGGAGAAAATATTTACAAATGAAGCAATGGATAAAGGATTAATCTCCAAAATTTTCAAGCAGCGAATGCAGCTCAATATCAAAAAAGCAAACAACCCAATCCAAAAATGGGCAGAAGACCTAAATAGACATTTCTCCAAAGAAGATATACAGATTGCCAACAAACACATGAAAGAATGCTCAACATCATTAATCATTAGAGAAATGCAAATCAAAACTACAATGAGATATCATCTCACACCAGTCAGAATGGCCATCATCAAAAAATCTAGGAACAATAAATGCTGGAGAGGGTGTGGAGAAAAGGGAACACTCTTGCACTGTCGGTGGGAATGTAAATCGATAGAGCCACTATGGAGAACAGTATGGAGGTTCCTCAAAAAACTAAAAATAGAACTACCTTATGACCCAGCAATCCCTCTACTGGGCATATACCCTGAAAAACCGTAATTCAAAAAAAGTCATGTACCACAATGTTCACTGCAGCTCTATTTACAGTAGTCAGGACATGGAAACAACCCTAAGTGTCCATCAACAGATGACTGGATAAAGAAGGTGTGGCACATATATACAATGGAATGTTACTCAGCCATAAAAAGAAACTAAATTGAGTTATTTGTAGTGAGGTGGATGGACCTAGAGACTGTCATACAGAGTGAAGTATATCAGAAAGAGAAAAACAAATTCCATATGCTAACCCATATATATGGAATATAAAAAAAAAAAAAGAAAAAAATGGTCATGAAGAACCTAGGGGCAAGACGGGAATAAAGACACAGACCTACGAGAGAATGAACTTGAGGACACGGGGACGGGGAAGGGTAAGCAGTGACAAAGTGAGAGAGTGGCATGGACATATATACATTACCAAACGTAAAATAGATAGCTAGTGGGAAGCAGCCGCATAGTACAGGGAGATCAGCTCGGTGCTTTGTGACCACCTAGAGGGGTGGGATAGGGAGGGTGGGAGGGAGACTCAAGAGGGAAGAGATATGGGGACATATGTATATGTATAACTGATTCACTTTGTTATAAAGCAGAAACTAACACACCATTGTAAAGCAATTATACTCCAATAAAGATGTTAAAAAAAAAAGAAATTTTATCTATTGTAGTACTTAAAAGTATAAAGTTTAGCATTAGAATTTATATGAAACTTGACCCCATTTCTTACCAATGATGTGGCCTTTCATTAAAGACTCAGCTTCAATTTCTTCTTCTTCAAAATTATTGAGCAAAGTTATTTAAATAAATGAGATATTATAATTTACTAGACAGGTGAATTAGGTTCTTATTATTTTAGGTTCTAATAATCTAGGGAAAAATGCATTTTTCATTGATTTCTTAAACAGCAGCCCATTGAAAAATTAAGCAAAGTTATTTTGTTTTTATATTCCTGGGTAACCTACTCCTGAAGAGATACCTTCCTCCTCTGTATTTTCAGCTTTTTAATAGTTCAACAACGACAAGAATATAAAGTCTCTACTATAAGTGAGGTGGGTAGGGGAAGGAGGAAGCAAGTTGAAAAGCCATATGAAAAATCCCATTTGGGTTATTTCATTAGTAAGTGTTCACATTTGAATATATATTTTATAGGACTATACCCCAAACTGTTAGTCATGATTAGCTTCAGTAGAGACTGGAGACTTTCATCTTCTATCTTAAATACGAATGCACTATTAAAATTTCTGCTACTGTGGTACATAGCTTGTAGAAAGAGAAAGAAATCTGTTTTTAAGTGTGTGAGGTTGTTGGGGCCCAGGGCAACCCACCCCAGAATGCGACTCAATGGCATATTGATTATTTTGAATAAAGTTATATGAGAAACAACCAATGGAAAATAAATGATAAAAAAGAAAAACTCTGATGCCCCTTTTTCCCCCTAAAAGTGGGAAATAAATCTCCCATGTGAAGGTACCCTCCCTATACCAGCAGGATAGAAAGCATCCCTATCACCAAAGTTAGGGAATTCAAGGCTAAGCAAGCTGCACAGACAAAGTTTGTTACTTATTTAGTCTGCTACCCCAAACACAAGCCCCCTTGTTTTGTTACATCTCTTCAAATAGTTGTTTCTTTGTCTAAACATGATATATTATTGGCCTGCTCTGGACACTTCGGGGGGGTCGCATTTTTATGACTTACACGCATACAAATTAATTTTTTTAATTCATCTTTTCATCTGTCTTGTGTCAATTATTAGACCAGCCAAAAGAACTCAAGAAGAGCTGGGGCAGCGGGGGGGATGTGGAATCTCCCCCTCCCTGGACAAAGTTCTGATATCCTTCCTTGGGAATTTAATAGAAAGTTTGAGGATTTCTGGATAATCACTATTGGCAACAAAACAGAAACACAATCATGAAAGCTTGCTAACAAATTAAAAACACTGAAGCTGGCCTCAAGTTTGTTCAACATAGTACTACAGATCAGATAACAGTGACAATGATAGCCAGAGTACTGACATAAAAATGTTTTGACTCAAAACTTCTATATCCAGCCAGTTTGTTCTAAAGTAAATTCAAAAGAAAGATATAATTGTAGAGTAATAAGATTATCATCCTGTTGACATACCTGACAATAGGTGATAACAATTTCGAAAGGAAATAAAGTGGATGAAATAGTTTTTAAAAAAATGAGAAACACAACCATAGAGCTCAGTATTATCTGATTAATTGTTGTTATAATAGTTGCAAAATTTAATTGCAAACATCAAAAATAATTCTTGAAAAAAGAATGCAATAGACGAAGTAAAAAATGAAAAATAAGAAAAACAAAACTGAACCTACATCCCAGTAATTCCTAAAAGGACTTAGAGTTAATAGGGTGAGTTGTAAAGAAGTCAGATTACGTTTAATTCTCATGTAACATCAGAAACTACTTACATACACCATTGTTTCTATTATAGAGAAAAATCATAGGTTTAATATCTTTAAAGACTTGATATGATGAAAACAACATGTACTTTAAAAAATATTAAAAAGGGGCTTCCCTGGTGGCGCAGTGGTTGAGAGTCTGCCTGCTGATGCAGGGGACACGGGTTCGTGCCCCAGTCCGGGAAGATCCCACATGACGCAGAGGGGCTGGGCCCGTGAGCCATGGCCACTGAGCCTGCGCGTCCGGACCCTGTGCTCCACAACGGGAGAGGCCACAACAGTGAGAGGCCCGCGTACCGCAAAAAAAAAAATATATATATATATATATATATACATATACATATATTAAAAAGGTGAAACAAAAAAATGAATAATTTGACAGAAGATGAAATTTATATTATGGAAAAAATAAGACATGTACTTAAAAATGCCCTTTTAAACAAAAATCTTGGAATGAATCCAAAAAATTAAGGCTAATTTTTTATATTAGTCCTTGCATTTAATCCTTTTTGTGTAAATAAACTTTAACTGTAATTAATGACAACAGCAAACAGTTACATAATGCTTACTATGAGCAAGGCACTCTTATGCAAACTCAAACATACTAACTTCATTTCTCAAATGAACTTTTTGGTTAGTAATCTTATCCCCATTTTATGGGTGAGCAATGCTAGCCCATAAAGTTAATAAATTTGCCAAAGGAAATACTGCTAAAATTTAGATTTGAAATTTAATTAACCCAGGCTCTCTGTATCCAGAATCCAGGCAGTTCTGGATACACTCTGGATACCCAGTACACTTTACAGCCTTTTTAATTAAGGGAACTATTAGAAATATACTTTTTAGGGCTTCCCTGGTGGTGGAGTGGTTGAGAGTCTGCCTGCCGATGCAGGGGACACGGGTTCGTGCCCCCGTCCAGGAAGATCCCACATGCCGCGGAGTGGCTGGGCCTGTGAGCCATGGCCGCTGAGCCTGCGCGTCCAGAGCCTGTGCTCCGCAACGGGAGAGGCTACGACAGTGAGAGGCCCATGTACCGCAAAAAAAAAAAAAAAAGAAATATACTTTTAAAATTCTCAAGTGGTTCTTTCTCCTTACCATTTACTTATGTGAAAGGCGGGGTACAAGGGGGAAAAGTGGGAACGAGTTAGAAAATGGATCACATCTAAGACCAGAGCTGTGAATGGGCAAAGACCCTGCTTTCTGGGTCACAGCTGGTCCTCATAGATGATTAGGCTGCACTTAAAAGAATTCCTACTTAGAATTGTCAGGCTCTGCCCTTATTAGTATATAGGGTGTCTCTAAGAAATACCACTGGCACAAGCTTCCTCCCCTGTATCTTCCTAAATAACTTATTCCCCTCCCTTCCTCACAGTGAAGCCTTCTCAATCAAGTCTTCCAGTTGATGTTTTTCTATTTCTTTAGGTCTATCATTTATTCCTTTAACCAACACTTTTTATCTTGAGTCCACAATATACTAAGACAGAGGTATCTTTTTCTTATATCCTAGAGTAAGGCAGAGATACACAGAGAGAGACAAAGAGACAGTAAAACATAGTAAGATGTGATAAGAACTAGAGAGTCTACAATGTACATCTTGCTTCCTTTAGCAGTTTGTGGGTCTGTACTACTGCTACATAGTTTTGATTTTTTAAAAAATACATCTATTACCTTTTAAGTTATTGATATCAATTGGAAAGGCAGAATTATTTGTTAAACAACAGAGTAGAAGGACACCTCCATGGATACAGGCTCTCCTGCAAATATTCACGGAGTGAGAGCCTATGAACAATATATTGCTCATGAAAATCAAGTTTCTTCTTTTGCATAAATCAAAGTTTACCACAGACTCTTAAATGACATGTGAACAAAACATTATCACAGTTGCTCCTTTTTTTTTCAAATATTAGATATTTAAGATAGATGAGAACATGATATTCCAAGAGTTGTTCACATTCTTTTACTTACAGCCCTCATAGATGTCAGTGGGAATATGGACTGCTGCATGCTGATAGGATATTTGTCGCCCAAAATTAGCATCATCGATAAAAACAGGTTTTATCCTCTGGCTGCCTGGCTCACTATCGTTCTTTTCCGGCTATAAAGAAAAAATAGACAATAAACAGAATATTACAACTTATGCTAACACAGGTATTCTCACATTCACTTCTTCATTTGCCAAATGCATAGTCTTTAAAAAACAGATCTACAAGAATATTTTAAAATATAGTCCCATGATATCAGACACACAAATTTCCATTCAGGTATTAGCTTTCACATTATAACCTAACTTCTCTCCTAATTTCCTCAACGTTGGAGTCACTCGGGATCATTCTGAGAGGACCAGAGCTTTCCCACATCCAGTACTTATTAGAATGTACATTTAAAGAATAGCCAAAGTACCTTTAAATAAAACCAAATTAAAAGTTTCCCCTTGAAATATATTTCACCACTTCTGTTACCAAATTTCTATAATTTTTAGTTTGATAACCAAAGCTACACAGGACCTTTGTGTAAAAATAATAATAATAGCAATGAAGGATTATTTTATGTCATATTGCCTTGATTTCTGCATGTTTTCCAGGTGTATCAATTTTTGTTTTAAAAAAGTAAGTATAAATACTAGGAAAGAAGAGATCTATTGTAACTCTTAGTACAATCGAATCCTAATTTCAACCAATTTGTCTCCCAAGGTAGGAGAAAAGATCCAATCAATAACGATTCAAGAAAATCCCACAAGAGTTTCAGGTTAAAGATTAATTTTCTACCTATTTGAACTATGCTTGTGATACTGAATTACCCTGACAAGGTAATCCAGTTTCTCGTCTGGCAAGAAACTAAGAACCTCACTCATTTATCCAAAATGCATCTCTCTAACAACTGTTTTTGGCTAATTATGTTAAACTTTTTATTCCCCCAGTTCAAATATAGTTAACTCTTTCCTAAGTAAACATTTTTTAATTAAATTCAGACCTGTATTATCAACTCCATTTTAGGGACTAATATATTCCATATTCCCAAGGTAATTTCCTCAAAACAAAACTGAAAAAAGAATCACAACATTTGACTATTTTCGCAGCACACTGCAGTAATGCAACTGATAAGCAAGACAAAAGACTTAAATGGACAATCAGAAAATTTCAAAGAAGGCTGGTAGAATGTGGCAACACGAAGTCTACAAAGAAGTGATGGTGTCCAACTTTCTAGATGGCTCTGAAAATTTCTATAACCAGATAACCCATCAGTATCCCAAGATATTTTAAAACACACACACACACACACACACACACACACACACACACGTGTGTGTGTTTCCCTAAGGAAGTTGCAACACTGGAAAGAATATTTAGACACAAATATTAGCAAAAGGGCTTTTTTTTTATTTTTGCGGTACGCGGGCCTCTCACTGTTGTGGCCTCTCCCGCCGTGGAGCACAGGCTCCGGACGCGCAGGCTCAGCGGCCATGGCTCACGGGCCCAGCCGCTCCGCGTCATGTGGGATCTTCCCGGACCGGGGTGCAAACCCGTGTCCCCTGCATCAGCAGGCGGACTCTCAACCACTTCGCCACTAGGGAAGCCCAGGGCTTTTTTTTTTTTTTAATCAATGACTTCTAAAGCTGCAAGTCCAACTCATTATGTAATGAAATCAATGTAATAGGTCATGACCAAATTATTTTTCAAATGAAACAATGTTGAAAGAAAATATGAAAATACTCTCTATAATAAGGGGAAGGACTATATTTGGAAACTGTGGTTTAGGTATTCTGTTTTGGGGGGTTTTATGTATTATTATACTTTGTTGAAAAGGAAAAACTACATTTTTAGAATGCTTTTATGAGTCAATTTAATGTGCTGAAAATAAAAATTAAAAAAAAAATAGGGGCTTCCCTGGTGGCACAGTGGTTGAGAGTCTGCCTCGCCTGCCGATACAGGGGACACGGGTTCGTGCCCTGGTCCAGGAAGATTCCATATGCCGCGGAGCGGCTGCGCCCGTGAGCCATGGCCGCTGAGCCTGCGCGTCCGGAGCCTGTGCTCCGCAACGGGGAGGCCACAGCGGTGAGAGGCCTGCGTACCGAAAAAAAAAAAAAAAATAGTTGAAGACAGATCACTGTTTTTTATCCATGTGAAAGCAACAAAGATATAATTCCTCCCCCATTAACTAAATATACAAAATAATGAAACAGTAGTGTTGAAAGTCTAAAATTTGGCAAAATACCTACACGCAGGAATCACTAATTCATACTCTTTTCTAAAACAGAGGTTAGGTGTGTACAGCATGAAGGATAAGAAAAGAAAGGAGAAAGATGATAAGAAAAAGAGACACCATAGCGCCAAAGAACATGTAACCTAACACATCTACCAGCATTCCAATTGCTAATAAAGGAAAGAATAAAAAGAATAACTGGGGTTTGGTCTTGGATTCAACCATGAATTTTAACATTTTAAAATTCATCCTCTATTCTATGGCTCTCTGTTCCTGGGCACAACTGACTTGAATAAGAGAAGGGATCATTAAAACAAACTACTTTCATTAATAACAAGAATGTAAAGAGGGTCTCACCTAATAAATGATGTCATTTTTCTTCTCAACTGCAAACATCCCGAATTAGTGAAAAGCCTCAATATTTATTTTAAAGCAGAGGTTTCTCAAAGTGTAGTCCTTAAAGAAGCAGCATCAGCAACCACTGAAACTTTTTAGAGTTCAGGCTCTCAGGCCCCACCCCAAACCTAGTCAATCAGAAACGTCAGGGGAGGGATCCAGCAAGTAGTAGTTCAACAAACCCTCCAGGTGATTGTGATACACACTAAATCTGCAAGTCCACTGCTTTAAAATCAAGTTTAAATTGTACACACATTTTTGTTTAGAACTACTCATGAAAAAGTTAGGATTAATAATAAGCATATTAATGGATGTCTGAATTTTTCTACCCTCCATAGGGTAGAAACACTGTTTTATTATTACTGAATAATAGATGTGTACACATGGTAATATGGCCAGTAATATCTGTCAAAGGATATTTCAAAAGACAGTAGTTTTCTCAAGATACTCTAGGGGTTAACTCCAACCTGAAATAACTTGGGGAAATATTCTTCTACTCTTCTGTTAAGAGAATAACAAAGCACATTGGAACATCAAAAGCTCTGAAATAAGCGTCACTAAAGAAAACCATGTTTAACCCAGTGTTCTCAAGCTTATGTGACCCTGGAATTTTTTTTTTTTTCATACAAAACCTATTACAAAGAACATACTTACAAAAAACTGTGGAAAGGCATAGTGGAAAGTAAAGACATCAGGAGATTTGCTTCTACTCAGTCGTATTAATAACACCTCAGACTAGGGCCAGTCACTGTTCCTTGGGCTTCAGCTTTCTGACTTATAAATAACGCTGGGCTGCAGGTGTGGTCCTTATTCCCTGGGTTATATCAGAATCACCTGGGGAGCCCTCTTCCCCCATAAAGCAGTGAATCACAACGGGGACGACATCTTTGGAAAGAATCTCTCAGTTGGTTCTAACATCCTCTCCTACTTAAATTAAGAAGACTCAAACTAAAGAATCTATGTTATTTTCAGTTATGAAAAAATTATAGTCCTATTTCTATAATTTTAGAAAGTATTACATTAGTTTCTGTAAGCATATCTTTTCCAGAAATCCTATTTATATCTCTCTCTAGCAAAATTTAGATATATGAAAAGTAGAAAGATTTGATGATAAATAAGAGACAGTGAATTATACATATGAATTAGGGTTAGGAATATGTGCTTAAGTGCTATTATTTCATTCATTCACTCACTCAAGAAATAATTTATTGGTAGAGTGGAGGATTTAATGATAACATTTATAGAAATGTCATTTAATATCTGAATCTTGAAACAAATGTGCAACAATAGTAAAAGAGTCACAATAAGTATGACAAATACAATTTTATATTGTTATTAAGGAATATAAAAGAGTAATTACATTGGGAATGTACATATATGCTGTATTTGTTTTTAAATGGTTTTAAGCTTAAATGTAGATGTTAAGCACAAAGAAAGAAGAGAAAATCAGCCTATATTTTTAGAAGAAAGAGAGGAAAAGAGAGAAATGCAGGGATGAGTACATAGCAAACACTATTAGCACTATCATTGGTTTTTATAGTTTTAATGGTATTCATCTTTGTGCTTTCTTGTTGTTTCCAATGTAATACAATAAACATGTATTATATTTGCAATTAAAAATATTAATTTTTAAGTCCTTTCCAGAGTGCTATTAAGCACTATACGATTATCTTACTAAGGTGGAAGTTGCTTCTATTTCCTCTGAACCCTCTCACACTTAAAAATTATGTTTTAAATGTATTTTAATAGAGATTCTTTCACTTTTCAATTGCCATAGAGGGAATTCCCAGGCGGTCCAGTGGTTAGGACTCAGTGCTTCCACTACTGGGGCCGGTTCAATCCCTGGTCAGGGAAATAAGATCCTGCAAGCTGCATGGTGCAGCCAATAAATAAATAAATAAATAGCCATATAAAGGGCTTTTAGGAATAATTTAAAATAACGTACTTCTCAACTTGTATAATCATGTATCAAGTCTAGTTTTAATGTACAGATGCTAAATATATTAAGAAAAAATAATATGGCTGTTGCCCATGGTCCCCCCCCTTTATTACACTCTCCATAAATTGAAGTCATTTCATGAAAAGATTAACATTTCTAAATGCAACTCATTTCCTTAAACTTCTGAAATTATTGTTCCTGATATCATCATAATCCATCTTTACTTTTCTTGATATATTATGGCATTATATAGTATAATTAACATAGAGCAAATACTAGACACAAAGGAACTGACTGAGAAAAGGAATGCAGAGAAAAGCTACTTAACACATATTGTTTAGTGTATTAAAAATTTCAAATAAATTGTCCCCCTGGAATTAAGATCTCATTGTTTGCCAGACCACAAGAAAAATTAAGTCAGCATGTCTCTTGCCAATTTTTTCCCCAAAACATCTCCTGAATTCTCCCGACTACCCTATATAAATGTGTACAGAGATGCTGAGGAGGTAAATTCCAAAATGTATTCAAATGTATCTGGTAAAACACATAAGCGAAACATG